CCAAAACAGTTTTCAATATAAGAATAATTTTTTTTTTTTTTTTTTTTTGCAAATGAATATTCTGTTAAAAATTTAGAGGGGACAAATATAAATTATATAAGAATAATTTTCCCAGTTACAACTTGCATCAAAATAATTTCTTCCCTAAAAATAAGACTGCAGGATTATTCCCTATATAAACCATACAGAAATAGATTGTAAACTTATATTCTATTATCAAGGCCACTCCCCTTTTACAAATTTTTAAATCTCACTAGATTTAGCATTTTCAAACAGTTCCTTTACGTCAGGGGTTGGCTATGCAGTGTCTCAGAGGAGGACCTTGATATCAAATGTATTATAATAAATTGTCTCAACCTCAGACTGATCTGCCCAGAAGGCTGCCTTGTACTGGAAGTTTAAAGAAAAAACAACTAACTTAATGTTATATTATTTAAACAAGGTTCTTTATTTTACTATAGGATTAACAGGATAACAACTAACACAAAAGAAAATACAAATTCCTTACTACGGTTAAGTTGGTGGCTCAGTCAAAATTCAAAACAACCCTACAACTACATCTATCTGGTCAAAGAACTGATAATGATGATTAAAGTTAGAAAATAAGTGACATTTTCAGCAACAGTAATAATATTTAATGGCATATCAACTCCTTATGGGTCATTTAATGGTGTATTCAGCTTTTTGTGCATATACATGTTTGTATGGACATAATTGCTAGGCAGTGACGTGTATTTTATGTTCTAGCTTTGTTGAAGTTGTATTTTGGAATACAGTTTGATTGTTTTAAGAAATTGTAGAACATTAATTAGAATTAATGTCATCAAAGAATTCTTATAGATTGTTTGGCTGATTTTGTTTAGCAGCATATCAGCCTCTGTGGATTATATAATGCCAAAGTCTGAATAACTTGAACGCAATTGTATGCCTTCAACTACAGATAAAATGTATTCCTGGTATTTTTAATATAGAAATTTATTTTTATACTTACATTGTGTATTTTTTTTGGAGGTTCACCATTTGGTCATAGCTGGGACCCTAACAGGTGCAACCACCTCGGGTCAGAGTGGACCTGGGAACAACAGCAATTAAGAGGTGGTGCCACACTCTTCAAAACCGCTAATCTCTCAATCAGTTTTTGCTGCCAGATGTAGTGTTTATTTTGAGAAATATAAAAAAATATTCTATAAAAAAATAGTAATGGTTATAATAGCAGTTTCCTTAGAAAGAAACATTCAGCATTGATTGACTGAGCAGTCAGTGATATTTTGTGTTGAAATTTATGAAACCTTTCTATTAAAACAATTTTTGAGGAAAATAGGAAGGGAAATGCAGTACTTGAGAAACTTAACTTTTTGTTTTAAGTAGCATGGAACATCAACATCTTGATTATGTTATTGTTTTCTCCGAGTTACAAGTGCTATCCATTTTAGTTGTTTCTGCTTTTGAAAGTCCACAAATAATATAGTTTGTTATTTCATACAGGTTTTTGTTTGATTCTATAGTGCCGTCCACATAGTGAGGATGATCCTTCTTTGAGCTAAAACCTACAGGCTTCAATTTCTGAAAGCTACCTTTAACCATTGGCCTGAGAAAGTAGATGTATAAAACTGACTGTTTAGATATTTCTAAATAAGTTTAGTGCCATGTACGACATCTATATGAATGTCTTGTCAGATCAAAATTAAAAACATAACTAGTTTTTAGGCTAATGTTTTGGTCTTGTAACAACTTGTGATGTTCGGTGAAACAACCCCTAGTGCATTATTGAAGAAGGTGCTGCATATTCTAACATGTCAAAAGTAGTTAGTAAAGTTTAATAATAGTTGTCAATGCTTCATCCAATAAAATGTAACAGGACTGCTGCTAAGATAAAACAAATAGTAAAAAAATAAAAAAAAAACTGTGATGAGAATGATCGGAAAATAAAAAGTGATGGCTTATTGATTTGATTTTCTGTAAAGCTGTCAGCGTTGTATATTATCTGGTGTGCTCAACCTGAATTCCTGAGGCAAAAAATGACATTAAAATAAATCTCATAGAGATTATCTTTCGGTCCTGTGCTAAAGTTTTGTGTAAAAATTGCGATGATGAAAGGAAACTAGAAATTAAGATAAACGTAGAAAGTAAAAAAAAAAAAAAAAACTTAATGGGAATGTGGACGGGTTTAGGTGAAGTTGAGAATAAATAATCAATGTGATATCGAATTATGTTAATCACTTTGGTGTGTGGCCGTATCTTGCTGGTGTGATTCTCCTACCTAATGTTCTATTTTTTAAACCTATAAAAACGGCCGATGAAAACTGATAACGTGAAAGTAAGCGATCATAGGGCAAGCAAAATAAAAACAAACAAAAAACAACAACGTTGAACTGTAATAATATTTAAATTATTAACCCATATAAAAATTAAAAAATAGGTTTATTTGTGGACATAATTTTTGAGTAAGAAAAAACGAGTGACTTAATTTCCAGGTTTTTAAGCTAACGTCCATAATTTTAAAATACGGAAGCCTAAAAAAAAAAAAAAAAAAAAAAAAAAAAGAAAAGAAAAGAAAAGAAAGAAAAAGAAAAAGTTGCATTCGCTAAAAAACTGAAAAAATAACGCGAGGTCCTTTTCCTATAATCCTCACGTGAAAATCATAATAACAATGAGTAGTTGGGTGACGAATAAACTTAAAAACTGGTTTGGGGTCTGTAGGGAATCCGAATAGCACACAAAAAAACGGATAAAAAAATGCTGTTCTTTTATTTCATTCAGCTTTTTACAGCATTACTAATTCAGTTTCTCGCTGGCAAGAAAAAAAAGGGGGTATATATTTTTTTAGTAAAAATTATAGAAAGTAAATATTACTTTTTTAAAACTAAAAATTAGTATTTTATTTTTGTACAAAAATGTATTTTTTCAATGTCATTTGTTCTACGATTTATGGAAATGGCCTTCATTTCTTGAAGAAACCTGATTTCCGAAAATAAAACATTTAAAAAATCGAAGTTTAAAAGAAGCTAGCAAATTGACCCTAAAATGAGGGTTTTATTTAAAACGAACTTGTAATACCAAATTGGGCATTGACTTTATGTCCGCTTGGAGTTTTCCGACAGAAGAAAATGTTAGTCGATGCGGAAAAAGACATTGAAAATTTATCGGAAACCAGTCAAAAAAAAAAAAAAAAAAAAAAAGCAATCAGAGCTTTTAGGTCATTTTTTCCAGGAACCGTTTGAGATTGAAACCGTCACAACAAATGAACGGAATTCTTAATAAAACATGACAAACACTAAATCCGGGTAGTTTGGATCGAAATTTTTTTAAAAGATTTTTAGGACTAAATTTATTTTTTTTTTTTTTTTTACATTTCAGTAAATTTTTGGAGGAAAGTATTTTTCTTACTACATGTGATTGTGATCATAATGTACTATTGAATGAATAACGGTATTTTTAATAATTTCTATGAAATTATCTTTTCTTTGTTTTAGAAAGTTTCTTTGTGACCGGATTTTTATGCAAGTTTAGTAGCATGTTTTTCGTTAGTCTAATTTTAAAATATGGAAACCCTAAAAAGAACAAAAAGTTCCATTTTCTTTTTTTTTTGAGTCGGAACTCAATTTGTTGTCTTACCAAAAACCTTTAAGTATTTTCGGCAAGAAAACAAACCCAACAAAAAACAAGGCAATCCTAGACTTCCACGCATTAAAATAAAATTACTCGCATTTCTATAACGACAGTACATAAAAAAAAATCAAGGCCCTGCTTTACGTTACAATTGGTTGGGAGTGACGTGGTTAATTGGATATCCTCTGTGATAAATACGGACACAAAGTCGGTATCCACTTTAGCATTATAGGCATATTTTAAATGGAACCTCCACTTTAAAGCTACATGATGACTCACTCCTATGACAACTAACTTTTACTCAAAAGCGTAAAAATTCCAATAGAATTTAAATAAAAATATAGAAACAAAGCAGGCCAAAGTACCCAAGAAAAACATTTTTATGCAGAAATAAATGTACTAAGTACAGTTTTTTTAATGATTCTAACCGAACCAACTAAAAAAAAAAAATCATTGATTGCATCCGTATTTTTGTAATGACATGACGGATATCAATTCGGATATATTGTCCAGGGTTCAGGTTAGCAGTTAAATTACCAATTGAACATTCGATGTCATAAAATGTCGGATACAAGATCAGGGTCCACTTTGACATAACACATGTAAAAATTGAACGATCACTTATTCGTTCGCTTTCATTTCTAAACCTACTTGCATAAAAAACAAGTAGGTTACTAAATAAAGTCCATTCGTGAATCATGGTAGGATATTATTAAACAATAACGGAAAAATAATTTTTTTTTGCAAAAATATTCTACCGTAAAAACACAATCTTTACCTTGCCCTTATGGATGTTTTTAGCTTCTAGTGGGGAAACTAACAAAAATGCTCCGAATTCTCTATTTTAAATGTGGTTTTACCCGTGAACACTATTTCATATTTACAAAGCTTATGGTGCAAGAAAGCTATAACGAAAAAATTCAAGATCCTGGCTGGAGTTAAAAAAAAAAAAAAAAAGCAGAAAATCCCCCAGTTACTGATAACAAATACATTTTTATTTCAGTCAATCGGCAAATAGTCATATCTAGAGCATAAGTTGAAACGGTATCTAGATTTAACTGCCCTTGTTCCCAGATACGGATGCCTCATAATGGTCACATTTCATTTAAAAGTCTACATGCAAATGTAACATAGGACAAAGATATTAATTGTAACTTCATAAAACAAAAGTATGTTTCATCTTCTATTTTATTGGAGGGGAAAATTAATTCAATACCAAAAAAAAAAAAAAAAAAACAAAAAAAAAACAAAAAAATCCAGCAAAAGAGGATTTTTCGTTGCACTAAGTAAAAAGATTAAACTTCACCCTGTCCAAAAACAGTTGGCTTCACTTTTCAGTTCTCTTGGTGAGGTTTAACAAAAATAACAAAAACAAAAACACACACCGATGGTCATGAAAGATCTCTGAAATCAGAAACATGCAGCAAGAAGACTAAATGATGCCAAATATAATCTTCACTTACCGTTTTATTAATTTTCTTTAATGGATTTCGTACTTTCCTAGTTTTCTTGTCTTTGTTTTGTGGAGAATGGCGAGTGGAGTTCTGTTGAGAAGCGATTGATGTCGAATGGGAACATTTCGTACTGTGTTGCCGTTTATGTTTATGGCGATGAACAGAGACTGAAGGAGGGACACATTTGGGGCCGAGCCCTTTAACAGTTTCTGGCTTGGCGTTGTGATGAGGGTGGCCATGGTTACTATGGAAACTTTGCTGAATATGATGATGATTGTGATGATGGCGAAGGCAGTGTTCATTATTGCCAAGTAGATGGTTCTCTTCATAAACCTTGAGGTTACCATTTAATACAATACGGGTAGCACCTGTTTCGACATTGTGGTCGGGGCACACTTTAGGTGGCGAATAGCGTTTGGACCCTTCTTCCTGAGTTAACGTCAGCTGTTTCCTATCTTTTTCTTCTTTGGTTTCAGCTCCATCTTTTGTGAAGGTACCTGCATCTTCCTTTTGGAGAGAAGCAGCATTGACAAGTTCTTCCAAAGAAGTGGTAGACAGAAATGACTGGATGGATGCCATAGAATATGTCGAGCTCAGTAAGGACTGCGATGACGAAGATATAAACATAGAAGGGAAACTATTACAATCATCTTCCTGTGAACTTTGCTCTGAAACCTCTTCTTCCTCCTCCTCTTCTTCCTCTTCAACCGTTGATAATGTTTGTGGTGAGTCCCAGTCGGCATCGTCTTCTATAATAGAAGCCAGATTATTTAATTGTTCGACCAAAAAGTTTTCCTCGATCTCTGAATCGATAATGATTGAAGGGAGGTTTTCATTAAGCTCCGATGATGGATCAAGATTGGTCCCATCTTGTTTCGGCCGGATTTTGCCAAAAAGCATTGACTCTTGTATCAAAATGTTTTCCACTAACATGTTTTTTTTATTATTTGGTAAAGAACTGTGATTATCAAGGGCTCTCAGTTGACAAGTTGTGTTTTGAGACTGAACCCTCTTCGTGTCCTCGAGAGGGAAATGATTAGGAGATGAAGAAATATGTTCGTGACTTGTCTGATTTTTCTTCAGACAAATAGCCCCAGAATAATAATTCCAATGTTCCCAAGGTTTGGAAAAGATTCTTAGAGAAGCTCTCGTCCCATAACGTGTAACGACAAGGACAATAGCAAGAGTAGTGGACACTAAGAAGGTTAGATTCAACTCATAAACAAATACCAGAACAGGAATAAGCATTATCTGAATCTATGACCAAATGGTACGTTAAACTAAACAGACCTCCCGGCTTCGCTCGTTCTCGTAGATCATCTATACTAAAACTACTAACAGAGAAAATGGGAAAATACTCCATAAAAATGCTTATTTATACATCTTTTTAAATAATGCCTAATCTTTTTAAGGTAATTCAAATTGCTATTTAATTTAGATAAATTATTTAATATTTTTTTTCAAATCGAAATAGTCGAGTAAGTAGAAATAATCACGAATTTCGACAACTTCACTTCTAAGAGATCAAATTACAGATTGCTTTTTTCGAAACATTTCTAGTTGATAAATGATTATTAAAGTAAAGTCTAGTGATCAGTTTAATCAAAATGAAAATGAAATAGAACTACTTAGTAATCCTAAGTTAGGATATTAACAGCTGGAAAAAACAGTGTTTATAAATTTCCAAAAATAAGTAACGAATTTGACACTTGAGAGAAATCTTAAGAGTTAATAGAACCTACTAAGCCTGATTAGTGAGGCTAAGTAGCCGAAAAACGAGAAAGACATGCAAGGACCGAACAAAAAAGGAAAAAAAAAATACCGTTTTTAAAATAAATATTTAAATTTGTATGGATTGAGATATAGGGACATAAAAAAAAATGTTGATTTTATTTTAGCACATCAATGTTGAAAAATACCTTTTGTCTCGAAAATTAAATTGACCAGATAAAAATAATTCTTTCTTTAACAAAAAAAAAAAAAAAGAATGAAAGAAACACAACCTTGCAAATAAATAAGTCTTTTTTTTTTTTATTATGACTTACGCCGATGGTGTCTTTACTTACGATTGAACTGAGATTCCGTTTTTTAAGGCATCAGAGAAATAAAAAATAAAAAAAAATTAGCTATTTTTTATGGAAAATTCCAAAATAAAGGTGATGAATTAGTTGGTATGAATTAATCCTTGTAAAAAGAAAAGAAAAAGAAAAAAAGAAAAGAAATATAATCCTCTCGGTGGGGACTTTTTTTTTTCTTTTAATATGAAGTTGATATATTATTTTTTAGAGTTGTAGTAGCAAGCTCTTTTTCCTTTGCACACACGCAGTAGCAGGCCTCAAAAGTAAATGGATGTGGGGCGGTGTTGTTGTCGATTTTTGCACATTAAACGAAGAGGAGAGAAAAAGGCATCTTTTAGTTGTAGTCGAGAAAGTCGTTGATTTATATTAAAAATGTCCTTTTTGAACACAGGTCTTACGATATATAAGGAATAGAAAATATCACTTTCAGGGGTGGGGAAAGACGGAGAAAAAAAAAAGAAAAACAGTTAGGTTTAATTATACTAACGCACCCCTGTTCAGCAAGCGACCGTGTTCCCGGCTCAAGTGCGCGAAATCGACCGAGAGGGTGACGAGAGTTATAGGACGATTCTATTGCGGCAGAACGAAGGGGAGACAGCATACTATCGCGTGTGTAAAAAGACTTAGGATTAGGAATTATCGACAAATTTTTGTTGATAGTCTTCTTTTACAATATGGACAACTGTTCACTTTATTTGATATTCTTATCACGTTTCGGTCAATATTAAAAAAAAAAAAAAAAAAACTTTTTTCTTCCCTCTCTCATTTATGGTTTTTTCGGAGGTTAAATATTATTTTTTAACCTCCGAAACCATGCATACTTGGCTTACGGCCACAGAGATATTTTTATTACACAACTGGTGTTTTCGTAACAGAACAGATTTAAAAAAGAGAAAGAAAAAAAGTTTTACTTATATACCAAACTCATTCCGTTCATTGAATTAAAAAAATGCGCCTAAAGACATAAAGAGAAAAAAAACCCACGATGAAACTGAAGTTTGTGATTAATAAACCAGTTAAAAAACTAAACAAGAATAACATCGGTCGGGTGTAGTACGCACCGTACTACCCCCGACCATAGGGAGCCTAATTGGGGGCCCTGGGTAGTGCTTTTTTGTGTCCCTCGCTATCTTATCAACATTTGTTTGTTTTTGTTTTGTTTTTTAATAAAAACATCATTTCAATATAAAACTAGGTAAAGGCAATAAAAATTAATTAAAGCACGGATTCGATTCTGTGTGTGGATAATCCGAGCGGGATGCATTAAAAAGAAAAAAAAAAAGATCCACTGACTGCGGAAGAAATAATGATCGCCAAAAAATTGTTTTACACCGGTTTCAAATAACCTTGTGGTCAAAATTGATTTCTTTTCAAAGTTTTTTTAAAAAAAAAAAAAAAAAAAACTTTTTAAGCGAATGTCTGTGAGAGAAAAAAAGTAAGCAACAAAGAGTTACGCACTTAACGAGTGAAGGATGTTCTGTTCAGCATTTATTTTTTAATCCAATATAATGAGATGCTGTTTTACACTTTCAGAGAAATGGGTTTGGCCCATGTTGAGTAAATGTCGGCTGATGAGGAAGTATACAGGGTGGGGAGGGAGAAGTAGGAAGGGAGGGAGAGAGAGGAAGCGAGTGCAAAACGGACAGAATGCAGAAGAGAGAGAAGGAGGAGGGGGCAGTGAGAGACAGACAGAAATATGGGGAAGGAGGAATAGAGAGAGAGAGAAAAAGAGAGGGGATAGGCTGAGAGAGAGGGGAGAAATAGACAGAGCAATAGACTGAGAGGGGGGAGAGAGGGAAGAGAAAGGGGGAAGAAGGAAGAGAGGGGAGAGAGAGGGGGAGAAAGGGGAGGGAAGGGAGGGGAGGAGGGGGGAGGAGGGAGGGGGGGAAGAGGAGGGGGGAAGAGGAGGAGGAAGGGAGGGAGGAGGAAGGGGAGAAGGAGGAAAGAAGGAGGAAGGGGAGAAGGAGGAAGGGGAGAGAGAGAGGAGGAGGAGGGAGGGAAAAAAGAGAGATAGGCTGAGAGAGAGGGATCGAAAGACGAAATGACGGAGGGAGTGGAAGAGAGCGAGAGAGAGGGGAATAGGCAGAGAGAGAAAGAGAGAGAGAAGCAGCCAGAGAGAGAGAGGGGGAATAGACAAAGAAATAGACCGAGAGAGAGGGAGGAGAAGAGGAGGGAAATAGAAGGGGAAGAGAGCGAGAGAAATAGAAGGGGAAGAGACGAGAGAGGGGAAGAGACCGAGGCAGGGAGGAGGGGGAAGAGACCGAGGCAGGGAGGGAGGGAAGAGACCGAGGCAGGGAGGGAGGGAAGAGACCGAGGCAGGGAGGGAGGGAAGAGACCGAGGCAGGGGGAGGGAGGGAAGAGACCGAGGCAGGGGAGGGAAGGGAGGGAAGAGACCGAGGCAGGGAGGGAGGGAGGGAAGAGACAGAGAGACCCAGGGAGGGAGGAGAGCGAGAGACCGACGGGGGAAGAAACCGAGGGGGAAGAGAGGGAGGGAGGGGTTGAAGAGACCGAGGGAGGGAGGGAAGAAGAGATCAAGAGAAGGAAAAGAGGGAGAGAATCCAAGTTTCCCTTTATCCTGTTCCATTTTGATATTATTACCCCCACCTCTTTACACCGATCCTTAAACAACTTACCGTTTGTTGGACGGACTTCATGTAAGTCTCTTAGACTCGGAAGCAATTGATAGTAAATTCGATCCTCACTAGGTGCCCTAAAGCAAAATGAATAGAAAAAACTTCCAAGAAATTACAAATGGACGCGCCAATGCGTATCAGTTTATTAGCAAAGAACTTTTTGGAGCTACACCATGAATCGTTTTCCAGTCAACTAATTTCCATAATTATATAACTAATGTTCACCCTATATAAGGTCCAAGAGCCACTCAAGATAGAGGATCACTGAAGGAGTTTGTTGTGTGAGCTGCAGGAGTTAGAGGTAAGAGCCGTAGTTTATGAAGATATACAGAAAAGACAATGGTTAACCGTAGACATGAACAGGTTAAGATTGTAGCAGTCGAGAAAGCATCCTCTTGGGAGTCATTTCGACAAAGTAGCGGATTCCACAAAGTAGCTGTTTGAATGGAACTTCTCACTAATGGGATTAAGAGATGCATTTTATAAGGATATGTAGGAAACATAATGGTTAATCGTAGAGATGAACAGGCTAAGATTAAGATCAGGGAAACATCCTTTTAGGCATCAATTTCACGAAGAGGCGGTTCGTGGAAAGAAGCAATTAAATTTTTGAAGCTCAAAATTGATTGGAAAGCAAGAAGCCGGAAGAGAGTTCCACAAGTTTTTTTTTTGTTTTTGTTTTTACTCGTGTAAAACTCTTGGGAGTTCTTTCCACAAAGAAGCGGTTTCCAAAAAATAGCTATTTGAGTGGAACTTACTTCTCACTAACGGAATACAAAGGGAATAACGTTGGTTCGCCTCAGGGTACGCGACATGGCGGATTTTAGCTGTGAGGGTTAGTGTTGGCGGAACTAAGGAATTTAGCTCGTCCGAACATTTTCCATGGAAATAGCGATAGAGTCCCGGGAGGCTTGTAATGCTTCATCTGTAAGAAAGGGTTTGCAGAGTGGAAAATAAAATCACCCACAAGGCCACGCATTTGAACTCTATCAAGACTTGAAAGTGAAAACTAGATAACTCCAGCCAAGATATGACAGCGGTACTCCATTTTCGGGCTGATCTGGCTCTTGATATTGTAAAGCATAGTCGGAGGAATCTGATACAAGAGCAGTACAGGAAACTGGCTATTTTCCCAGCATCGTTATCAATGGACCATATATACTTTTACTTGAGTTGTGGGGTGTGCTTAAGTCCCAATAGGCGTTCAAGGCAAGCAGGCCTCCATCAGAGAACATCGGTCCATTGCGATAGATAAAAATTCAACGTCTGCTCAGTGATGATGGAACATTACGACTTTGGTTTTTGAGATATTGAATATAACTTAGACGGAAGAATTTTACCAAAATATACATTATTTACATTATTCGGACTATTGTCCTCATCTTTGTCGCCATATTTATTACAACGTTTCGGCCGTTGTACGCTCCGGCCTTCTTCAGGTGGTTGGAATGTCAAACTGAACCCTTTATTTCGTTCACCGGGGTAGACTGTTCTAGTTCCACGTGCCATGTTTAATGGATGTCAGTTATCAGTTATCTCCTGTTAATTTCTCTTTGAAAGTTCTCCACTGCCTTAACCGGGTATTGAACTCACACTCTTTGGGTCCTGTCACTGGATCTAACCAACGCCTTTATCCACTGTGCCATGTGTCCTCAAGGACACGTGGAACTTAATCCCACCAAAAGACCACAAAGAAAATTTCAAAACCGAACCTGTATGCAGACTCATAAAGCCAACTAAAAGTGAACTAGGTAAAGAAAGAATTAATTCTGAACTAAGGAAGAAGTTAGTTTTCCAGTGGAAAAACACAAAAGCGATTATTGACTGGTTCCACAATATAAATAACAAACATAATTGCCAGTTTATACAATTAGACATTAAAGAATTTTACGCATCCATAACAGAAGCCATGCTAGATAAGGCTATCACGTTAGCCCAGGAACAAATTGTTATAGTGGAACACACCTATTCTATAGTTAATAGACTCTCCCACCTATAATAAATAGGAGTAGTAATAGTAATGGGAAGTCGCTCAGTCGTTCGGTCAGTCAGTCGATGACGGACGACCGTTAGTCGGATACTAAAGTATCAGCGACCACAACTAGATTTCTCTGCGTCATTACCTATTATATCAAGTTCCTAACGTTTTGTACGTCGAACCTATTTTAGGACCGACTTAGTACAAATACAAGCCTCCACTGTGAAACCACTTCATAACACAAATAAAAAGAATCACAAACGAAATCGATATCATTAAACACTCCCGTAAATTACTACTATTCCACAATGAAGACGCATGGATAAAGAAAGAAGGGATCTTTGACACTACAGTGGGAAGCTTTGACGATACAGAAATATGCGAAATCATAGGTATATATTTACAACATGAACTAAGCGAAATAATAGATAAAAATGATACAGGACTCTATAGGGACGACGGTCTCATAATCTTAACAAACTACAACAAGCAAAACACAGACAAAACTAGAAAAGCAATAATAAGGATTTGAAAATAATGACGGATTTGACATAGATATAAAAACTAACCTAAACGAAGTAGATTTTCTAGATGTTACCTTCAACCTAAGAAAAGGCACATATAAACCATACAGAAAACCCAATGATAAACCACTGTACATACACACATCCTCCAATCACCCGCCTTCGATAATCAGATACCAAAATCGATTAACCGCAGGCTCTCCGACAATTCTTGCAATAAAACCATATTTAACGAAGCTAAGAAAGACAACGAAACAGCCCTAAAAGATAGTGGATTCCCGGCAACACTCACATACTCACCACAGAGCACAAGAAAGGCCAACAGGAAAAGAAATATCATATGGTTCAACCCACCGTACATCAAAAACGTAAAAACAAACGTAGGAAAAATATTCTTCAAAATCCTAAACACTTCCCGGAATCAAGAACTCTACACAAAATATTCAATAAAAACACAGTAAAAATCAGCTACAGTTGCGTCGAGAACATGGCACAAATAATAAAAAAGCACAACAGGAAAACTATCAACAAAGCACCCGAACAAATTAAACCCACGTGTAACTGTAGAATAAAGAATGAATGTCCCTTAAATGGTAATTGCTTACAAAACAACGTAATATACCAAGCCTTGGTCAAATCACCAGATAATGAAGAAAAAGTATATATAGGAGTAACTGAAGAACCCCGGGAACTATGAAACTATGCACACAAAAAATCTTTTACAAATAGTAAATATGTGAACAGTACAATGCTTTCCAAGTACATCTGGGAAATTAAAAACAAAACACAAATCACACCAAAAATATGATGGAAAATACCATCAACTTACAACAATCAATCAAAAATATGCAAACTTTGCTTGGAGGAAAATTACCTTCCCAGACCAAAATAAATTACTAAAACAATCTGAGCTCATCTCAAAATGCAGACATGAAAACAAATTTTTACTACGTTACTTAAAAATCGAAAACTGAAATGAATAAATACAAATAAACAATATAAAAAACAAGTAAAATAAATTAACCCAAACAAATAATAAACATATTAACAAACGACTCCCGTTATAATAGTCGAAATAGAATAAACAAAAATACATAAAAAACAAGTAAAAACAATCAACCCAAATAAGTAAATAAAGTAAATAATAAACAAATTAACAAACCAATCCCACCAAAATAACCGTCAGAATAGACAACAACCACCAAGCCAAAAACTGGACGAAAAATAGCTATAACTGCTATATATCGATATATCGATAATACGTCACTCAAAAAATCGAAAACCAAATAGAATAAATAAAAATATACAAAATAAAAAATAAGTAAATAAATAAAAAACTAATAAAAAATTAATCTAAATAAATAAATGAACACATTAACAAATCGCCCCCGCTAAAATAATCGTTAGAACTAATAAAAATAAGTATAAATAAACGAAAACAAGTAAAAATAATCAATCCAAATAAATAAATTAAAAACTGTCGGCCCGCCAATATAACAGAATAGACTACGGCAAGCAATTTAAACATTGGACGAATAAATAGCTTTAATTATCTTCCCAGACCAAAACAAAGCATTAAATAAGTGACCTAAGTAAATCCTTCCCAAAGAAATTTTTACTATGTTAATAAAACATCAAAAAACGAAAAGAATAAATAATACAAAATGAAATTGAGAAACAAGTAAAATAAATTAACTCAAACAAATGAACAAACAAGCCACTCCCGCAAAATAACCACCAGAATAGATTACCCACAATGCACCAATGACTCATATATATATAAATAGCCGAGGAAATATTCAGCATTCGCGGCCTGACGATTGCGTTCAGCATGAAACAGCCTGCCGCCTCTGAGTGTTGACTTCAATGTTCACTTATATATATATATATGTGTGTGTGTGTGTGTCTAAAATGGACCATGATCGTTTTCCAACGAAGCACTGTTTGTAAAAAGGTATGGAACGTGTGTATGTACGAAGGAGTTAATTTCATCACGAGAATGACCGCTCATCTATTAAGACCAGTAGATGTGCAATTAAAATGCTATTGGTTCTATTACAGCTGACGCCACACACGTCTATGTTAACTAAATGTGTAAATCGTTATGAAGGTATTTTTTTTTTCACGCAGTAAATAGAGAATTAAGTACTATTATAGAAATATATATTCTCGTGTCCCACACCCTTTAATGTACACCTGGGACAATATTTTTTTTACAGCATATCTGATTTTTTAGACAATATGCCACAGGCACTAAACATAAATCCAGGTAAGGATTACGTGGGCATTTTGGAAATTAATACATATATACACTATTTACATTGTTCGGACTATTGACGACATCTTTATTGTCATATTCTCGACGTTTCAGCCGTTGTACGCTCCGGCCTTCTTTATAGGTGACTAGCAGTATAGCCCGGCGTTGCCCGGGGATATAGCAGTAAGAGAT